ATATAAAATACTAGAATAGTTTTATTACTGGTTTGCTCCAGCTGTGAAGGAGACATTGCTTGGATATAAGTTTTTGCATCTTTGGTTTTTGTCTTTCATGACAGCTCTATGTGGCCACGGAAGCCATCCTCATCGCGTTGGTGGGTGCAACTCCTCCCTACCAGTGGGATCTCCAAGGGCTCTCAGCTAATCAGAGCCATAGCAACCATTCAGTGAGTGAGCAGAGAGTTTTTGGGGAATGGCTTCTGACTGCCAATGGCAGTGAGGTGCATAAGCACATACACTTCGGTAGCAGCTTCACATCAATAGTCTCTGAGGTAAGTCTGGGATGTGTTTTGCTGCCTCATGTGTGAGAAATAAATCTTATTGAGTTGGTTTTGGGGAAGTGCTTGTACTGCTTCTTTCTTGCATACTAATGCATGTTTTGATTAGCTAATGAAACAGGTGATACCACCAGGTAGAGAAGAGGTAGTGTACTCATATCTTTACTGGCAGCAAAAGCTACCTTTATATTGCTTTTGCTATGCATATCTTGACCAGTGTTCTGCTCCACACTTTTTTTTAATGTGTAAGATATGTCTTGGATCCTGTAACCTTGTTCCACATTTGAGTTGGAATCATGACATTCATTTTACTAATGTGTTCAAAATCCTTTATGGATCCTGAGCTCTTTCTGGCTACCTCATGCAACTGATTCCCTTGCTAAGCTCCAATGCATGTAGTGCATCAGTCAGGCAGTTAGCAAGCAGTGGAGGAACTGGAGAGGAAGTGGCTTCGACTGATTCCCTTGCTAAGCTCCAATGCGTGTAGTGCATCAGTCAGGCAGTTAGTAAGCCGTGGAGGAACTGGAGAGGAAGTGGCTTCTGTAGTCTTTACAGCTCCAGATATAAGAGAGGATAAGCAGAGTTAGATGGACAAAGCAACTCCAACTAAACAACTCCTTCCCATTCTATTGCTAAACAAGTTTTAGCTGTATTGGTGTGACCTCTGTGTTTTGTAGGTCTTTTCTTTCATGGTCTAGGCACAGTCCCTACAGAAATGATTCCAGACTCTGCATCGATGTGTTCAACACTTGCTCCTCCTGGGGCTGTCAATATCTGTTAATGTCAGATTGTTCTGTGCAAGAGTCGTATCTGAGTGCATCTGTTACAAGTCTTTAAGTTAGAGCTGAACTGTGGATTCAAGTGAGGTACCACTTGATAGGTCGTGGCTGTTGTCTGGAGGTATTAATGCTATTCAAATTGCTCCCATAAAGCACTTTATTGGTTATGAGCATATTAATAAAAACACCCAGCTTTGGGGTAATACCAGACTGTTGTGTACAACTGGCATTGCTTCTTATTCTGGTAATAAAGAGGCTGAGTACTTATGACACTATGTAAGTTAAAATCCTACTGGACAGTGCATTTCATGTTATTTAAAGCTCAGTAAGGTTTTCAAGCTTTTCTGGCTTGGTTGTGTGGGGCTTTTTTGTTGGGTTTTTTTTTTTGGTTTGTTTGTTTGGATTATTTTTTTACCTTACCCAAGAATCTTTCATGCTCTTAAACTTGATAAGTCAGGCATGTTGGTAGAGCCTAGCGTATGACGTGGATTTTATAAAGCTTTTTATCATTTTGGTTTCATGAATCAGAAATGCAGGTAAAGAACAAAGTTTACTTGAAAAGAAAAAAACTTTTTAAAAAAAAATCCCAAGGCAACTTGTGTAGACTTTGCTTTGTAGTTCTTTAACATACACTTTTTAAAAAAAATCCCAAGGCAACTTGTGTAAACTTTGCTTTGTAGTTCTTTAACATACATTTCAGTAAAGGCCCATGTGAATAAAATCTTGTTACCTTTCTTGTTTCCCACTCTGAAAGTACAGGTTTTTCAAAATTTGTTAGCTGAACGTGTGGTATATTTGAAAGTTATGTGCTAAGTACAAAGATTTTGGTGAGGTCACACTTATTTGGGGGATATTGTATTTGAAAGTTATGTCCTAAGTACAAAGATTTTTGTGAGGTCACACTTATTTGGGGGATATTTCACCACCATCTAATTTCATTACTAATGTGTAAAGAAGTGTTTTCTACATTTGAGGAGGATTTTTAATGCTTATCTTCTGGCATCACTTACTAAAAACAAGACCATTGCAAATTTACACTGCAAAATATTCTAATGCAAAAAGCTTCATTTATGATTAACAAGCATAAATGTAACATGCTTTTATGTAGGAGAGAAAAGCCTTGAGCCCTTTAAAGGGCTTAGATGTTGAGATTAATTTGCAAAACAAATTTTGCTTTGCAACCAAATTATCCCTTAATCCCTAAATGATTCAGAAAGAATCTAATGTCAACTAGTTTTGTATTGGCAATTTTAAAAATTTTTATACCAAAAGTTAGGGCTTGATTCTTGTAGCTCTTCTAAAACAAGCTGACCATGTTATTTCAGGATAAAATTAATCTCATATGCTATTATACAAATGTATTTTTCTGGGAATTGCTTTTAAAATCTGCAGAAGCTTCCAAAGCTGATTTGTGGTCACATACTTAGTTTTAGAATTGAATTTTGCCAGTCTTGATGCTTTATGGGCACATTACCTACTGTATCAGTAAACACCTTGCCATTAAAGTGACAATTGGAAATGAAGCATATACTGAGAGAGTAAGCAAGTTATTTGCTTGGAGCTTATGAATGATGTTTTGTTAGCTTCCTAATCTTGGTGAAGTTTAATTGCATGGCTCTGTTCTCGTGGTGAGGTAGTTCATAACGGAGCTTTGAAATAATATAAGCTTTGCTAGAAAGGATATCTAATGGGATTTTGGTAGAGGAAGAGAAGATTATGAGGGGAAGATTAGAGTGTTATTGCAGGGATAATGACATAATCACCAGCTTACCAACACAGGAAGAAAAGTTGGTTGTCACTAAAAGGAAATATTATCTCAAGGTGCAAGAGGAATAGAAAAAGAAAAGATGATGTGGAGTTTTTAGAATACAAAAGAAAATAGCTTTTGAAAAGTGAGAGCATGGCCTATTTTCATTCTACACTTTTGTGGGGGAAAGAATTTTCTGTCAGGTTCAACTTGAGACATTAAGTCTGTGAGAATCAAACATTTGAAGATAAGGTTTGTATTTGGAATTGAGAAGAACTGGAAATGACAAAGTACACTGTAAAAAAGATGATTGTGTGCAGAAAACGTGACTAACCTGTCTAATGCTACCAGAGTATTTCTCGGTGATAAGACAGTTCATAAGGAGCAGCATGTGCAAGATTGTCTTCAGAAATAAAGCACACCTATTTTTTGTTGCTGTGCCTACTCACTGCAGTGACATACATCAGTAGGTAGAACAAAGTCTATTTAGGAAAACAGATCTATATGAGAAGGTAGAAAGAGTGGGGAAAAGCTGCAAAAATTAGAGTATTCAGAGGGATCTGTTCTTGATTTCAGAATCAAAGACTGAATGTGATCTGGAGGTACTGTGCAATTGGTTGGTACCCCCTGTTGAGTCTGGGAGACAGCAGTTGTGTTCCGGTGACTGTCTGGTGACTTACTGAACATGATGCTTAGGAAATTTATGCAGAGTTTAATCTTCCTTAAAATACGTGTCATCCCCTCTAATTATTAGCTGTTTGTGAACTGCTGAATTGCTTGGATTCTGGTTGATTTGCCTTTTAGTTGTGTTTTTGCTTTCTCCCCTTCCATCCAGTGGTTTTTAATTGGCAATACATCATACAAAGTCAGTGCTGCCAGTTCTTTCTACTTCAGTGGGGTATTTGTTGGAGCAATCTCCTTTGGCCAGCTCTCGGATCGCTTTGGGAGGAAGAAAGTCTATCTCACAGGTAAGCACTGCCACCTAACAAAATGAATGTAGTGGAGGTGTTGTGTCTGAAGATCAGTGGCAAGAGCCCAGTTTCTGCTGAGAGCCTGATATGCAGCTGTGATTCATGTGCTGTGAATTTTGTTTGTTTTGTCCTTCCAATGTACTTCAGGAATATAAGTCAGGACAAGAAGTTAATATTTGATTATTCAGTCACCATCTGCATTACCTGCAAGGTGTTCTGGGTTTGTGAGTCATGCCATAGGGGCTCACACTCTCATGCATGTTGTGCTCATGGGATCTCTGCAGGTTGCAATTAATATTTCTAGTAATTTCTTAGCAATGTTCTTGCATGTATAACCTGTTAGGAATTTGTTGCACCTTTTATCTCTTGTCTGCATGATTTAATTTTTTATGTGTTTGTGATCCTCATAGTGTTTTAAATCTCATAGGTTTTTTTACTGTCCCTGAATCAAACATTTGAAACTGCATGTTTTGTGTGTATCAAGTAATGTGTCAATGCATGAGCACATAGAATTAAAAAAATGGATTTAAAAAAAATTTTTTAAAGGAGCTGCCTCATTCAAAGCAAATGGTGGTTCTGCTGTGTAGTACAAACTCACCATGTGTTGTCCCCTGGCAACCTCTCTCTTCTCTAGTTTCTATACACTGCTTTCTAAGAATGGGGTGAGATATTTGGTCATTTATTTAATCTGTGGCTTCAGTATTGAGGATAAATGTCAAGCCATTTTAACTGGAGTCAGACAGTGTTTCTGGGTGTATGAAAAAATCGTCTGCCATGAACTGAATTTGAAGATTTAATACTGCAAAATGTATCAAAACTCACTGCTTTTGTGCTCCCCTTTCTGATACTGACTCTAGGTATTTAAATTTCTGCCCAAACCTGCAGTGGTATTGTTGATTGTGATTGCTTGGGACAGATGCCAGTGAACATCAAGTAAACTTATTAGTAAATGTTTCTGTTTCTCTAGGTGCTCCTCTGAAATAAAACCTCTTGCCTTGTTTTCCAGGTTTTGCTCTTGATATCTTGTTTGCCATTGCAAATGGATTCTCACCCTCATATGAATTCTTTGCCATCTCTCGATTCTTGGTAGGGATGATGAATGGTGGGATGTCACTGGTAGCCTTTGTTCTACTGAATGAGTGTGTGGGTACTGCCTACTGGGCATTAGCAGGTAAAGTGCCTTTATTTTTCAGAATGCATAGATTTAAGTCTCTCATACCACTTGAAACACACCAAAGCTAACACCACAGCAGTTGCAAATTTAGCTCCACTTAAGCATCTCTGTGACCACAGTATTTGAATTCTGCTGTATGTAATATGAACCTTGGACAAGCACAGTAGGTGACTTGGAGTTATTTAGATTTCTGCATCACTTAAGCTGACGAAAGTCCAGCTGAAACATCTCCTGTGAATGTTACCCAGCTAAATACTCATCCAAGCTTTGTCACAGCTAAGCTCTATCCATCATATTTGGGTTTATCACAGCTAAGCTCTATCCATCATATTTTGGACTCAGCTAAACAGAGCTTAGTGTGTGCTAAATATCAATTCTTTCATTCCTGGCAGGTCTCAAATAGTGCCTTATTGTCAGAATTCATAGATGTCAGTCTCTCACACCACTTGAGACACACCACAACACACTAGCAGTTGCAAACTTAGCTCCACTTAAGTGTCTCTGTGACCACAGCTGTCTGGGTTGCTAGTGTTGGACCTGTTCTTCAGATATGGTGTGTATAACCTGTACTGTTACAGCTCCAGGGCCTGACTTACACAGTCTGTGACAAGTCCTGACATGGTTTTAAAACAGGGTGTCTTATAAATCATAAGAGCTACAAATGAATACTACATATTCCTAAAAATACCAGTTTTCCAATAGTTTGTAGTATTTAACGTAGAAAGCTGAAACATACTTGTATTTGGAATTATAAGACTTAATTGTTTATGGTGCTTTGTTGGGTGCAGAAGATGTATAAGAATGCTTTTTGGGCTTTTATTGATCTTTGCTATTAGATGTAAATCTTCTGCCCCACCTAAGTGAAAAACAGAATATTTTTTGGTCAAATAAATGTGGTTTTGCCTGTATTGCTGAGTGAATTTTTGTTAATGAAGAGTTTGTTCTTGTCTGATCCCATGTGTTTAGATTTACTAATGTTTCCTAAAGGAGTGATAATGTTTTGGTTTGGTTTTAATTCTATGTTAGGTTCTATTGGTGGCTTGTTCTTTGCTGTGGGAATTGCCCAGTATGCCTTATTAGGGTACTTCATTCGTTCCTGGAGGACTCTGGCTGTTGTGGTTAACCTGGAAGGAACAGTCGTTTTTCTTCTCTCTCTGTAAGTTGTTTTTCAAATTGAGTTTTGTAAAGAAAGATGTCAGAAAAATAAGAAAAACAAACAAACAAAAGCTTGTTAATAACAAACCAAACAACTAAGTCAAGGTGCCTTTCTAGGATGGCATGAAAGGTGTAAATATGGTGTTTCTCTCAACTTCTCCTACCACATGTTGCTGTGCTTTCTTCTAGTGCTGCAACATCTGAAAAGGTAAGTCTACATTGTATTGTATATGCATTATTACTGTAGGTGGGAACAGTCTAGAGTGGTATAGGAGCACATCCTATTCTTTAACTGGTATATGTAGATGATCTAAACTGTTGTCTGGTGTGCTGCAAGGCACTGCATGTATGTGTTACAAGGTACATAAATGGTTTTGTGGTGGTTCTGTGATAACATGGTGTTTCTCTTATAATTGTGCTTACACAGGAGGAACAGCATGAAAATTGCTTGCACATACTCTTAAAGGTGACATGCAAAAGAAGAAATGGGCAGCTTCCTTTCTTTTTCAAATGTGATCTGTTTGAAGATAGTAGAGGGTTTGTGCTTGTGGATTTTGGCACCTATAGCTATGTGATGCAGTGTGCTCTTCTTTTCTTACCTGCTTCCTGACATCTAAGTCTCAGTAACTGAGAGAAGAAAATAACTTTAATTGCTGTTTAAACTGCAGTGAGTTTGCCTTCTTTTTCCTTTCCAACATCTATTTGACTTCAGTAACGTTTTGAATAAAGCCTTTGCTAAAGAATCCACACACCCTTTCAAAGGAAGCATCAGGGGAAGGTCTTTGAGGCTGTTCATGAGGTGAAAGGCAGAGATGACTCTTTAGTATTTCAAAACTTAGTGGTGCTTGGGGTCTTTGGTAAACAAGTTTTAACTTTCAGATTGATATGTACAATTTTTTTGAAGTGACTTGGGAGGCCTATCTTACTGTGAGAAGGGGTTTTTTATTCCACGTTTCACACTGCCTGCCTTCCACATTGCTTAAAAATTGCTTTGCAGAAAATACTATCAGATTTTTATCATGGAGGAGAAAATATGTTCCTTTCTAAGCTCTTTCCTTTTATAAAAGCACAGAATCACTTTGTTTCAAATTTAGAGGGAAAATGTCATTTCTAGTCAGAGGCAAAAATCTGAAAAAGCTTCTGGCAAAAGGCTAAAGTTTAAATTGGTTCTGGAAATCTGAAAGTAATAGAAGAAGATTTGTTTTGTCGGCCATGTTGGAGTTATAGATCTGTCAAGTGAACAGTGCACCTGAGGAGCATGACTGACTTTTGCACAACCTCTGTCTTCCATTTCTCATTTTCCACCTTTTTTCCCAAATTCTCTACTGTAAACAGGAAGTTGATTGTATAGAAAATGAGAAATGGAACTGGTTGGTCTTAGAAAACCATCCTATGTTACTTGTAGTAATGTGTGCCTCCGTAATTCTGAATTCTCCAAAGTCAGGGCCCTAATCATACTGTAACTTGCAATATTGTGCTTTCTGTGTGTGCATATACTCAATGTATTTTCTTACTATCTAAATTGCATATGTCTTACATTTCCTTTCAACATGCTTGGTCTCTGTTTCAGTAAGCGAGTTTCATACCTGAAGGGTTGCTTGAAAAATTCTTTGTTATATTGAAGTGTATTTCAGCCATATCTACATAGACAAGTCAAGCCTCACAGACAAGCAAAGCCCTAAAACTGTGTCTGTATGTGTGTTTCAGATTCATTCCTGAGTCCCCGCGCTGGCTCTATTCCCAAGGCCGTCTGAATGAGGCAGAAGATGCTCTCTACCTCATTGCAAAGAGGAACCGCAAGCAGAAGTGCACTTTTTCACTAAAACTCCCAGCAGAGAGGAGCTCCAGAGAAGCTGGCAGCTTTTTGGATCTGTTCCGATACAAGATTCTCTTGGGACGCACCTTGATCATGATGTTTACCTGGTACTTGAAATACTTTGTAGGCCCAGCCGTGCTGCCATGGCCTCTGAAAGAGGTCTTTGAAAGAATATATTGCTGAGAATTGGCTCATCCTGCAGGTTGTACTTAGCCTCAGTCTGTATTATTAGAGACACTGACCCTAAAAAGGATCCTTTACAGTATTTTAGTATGTATTATAGTATTTCTTTTAGTGCGTTTCTAACATGAAGCCATTTTTGCAGTCTAGTTTTAAGCTTTTATCTTTGCATTTCTGTCTTGCTTTTTGAGTCTCAGAATAGTTGAGAACTGCCTCTTTTGTTCTGACCCTCAAGGGCTGCTGAGATTAGTCACACTGTCCTCCCCTTAGGCCCAGTGCTGTCAGTACTTTGTCACAGGCATTATTCTCTGTTTTGGGTATTAGGAGCCCATTAGCAGGTGGATGGCCTACCTTGTCTAATGAATCTGTTTATTCTCTTAAGAGAAAGTGCTGCCAGTGCTAGCTGTTGCTGTAGTGAGGAGCAGGAATCCATGATTCTACCTCTAGTGACTAGGAGAAATTTAACTCCAGAAGTGCTTGTTTTCTTTCCTTTAGCTCGGCTAGCCCCAAGGTCTTTTGCTGCTACCTTGAAAATGCTCATACAGTTTCTTTTATAATGCATAGATTTGGGAAAGATGTATTGCTTAAGAATAAAACAAACGATTTTTGTCAGCAAACAGAGAGCTGTTTTCCTGTTTCTTCTCCAAATGTTTATTACTGCAGAATGAATAGTTGATTGTTCTGTTCCTTAAATGAGAATTGCCCATTTCCTGCAGACTGAATTAGTGACCAGTTTCTTTCTGCTCTGTAAAGATGATAGCCTTTACAGGAGTGTACAAGATGACAGGATTACAAAAGAAAAGCTGATGAAGTATGAATAAAACTGAACTAGGGTGTAGCAAATAAAGGAGGGCGAAGTATCGCTTGAACCGCTTAAGAAATTTGGTTTACTTGCAATTGGAAAATATGGATGAACATAAAACCTGATAAAAAAAAGAAGGCCAATGACATTTCTTAAGCCAATTAATATAATCGTGATTACATTTTACTTTATTCTGATTTATGCACATTCTTCTTAAGCATAGTCTTAAGTTTAACTCAGTAATAAGTTAGGAATTGGGTCTGTGCAGAGATAAAATGGTTTCTTTGCCTAGAAAGCATCATACACTTGTAAAGAAACATTTTAGACCTATCTTCTGAAACACTAAATATAGTTTGCAGTGTATTATGCCAGACCAGTGCTTTGATTTGGCAGGCAAAGTGTCAGTTCTGATTTTACTCTTTCTTTTTTTTTTTCCCCCTTTCTCTTTTGCAGGTTTGTGTGCAGCTTGGTTTACTATGGTCTTACCCTTAATGTGGGTGACTTAGGTGGAAGTATCTATGCCAATTTAGCCCTTTCAGGCTTGATAGAAATCCCAGCATACCCAATCTGTATTTACTTGATTAACCAAAAATGGTAAGTATGGAATTTATTAATCTGTTCAGGGTTTTGTTATAACTTTCCTCAAAGATGGGTTTCCTGTATATTGCATGTCCTGGCTTATATCTGTTGTATGAGGCTTTCTGCTTTAATTTGAAAATGCCGTTGAGACATCTTTGTTTCAAGTAGCAGTTTAAGTTGTTCCCAGTAGCTCACCTGGTAGTGAGCCATCTCTATTTGGCTCTGGTGAAGCTGATCCAGTGCAGTCGAACCTAGCTGCGCTGACTCAATGGTAACACTAGATGGTGGTGTTCTCGCCTCTGTCTCCTATTCCCCATCCTCACTGAGGATGGGGAATATCTTAGGAAAACGTTAGGAGGAAGCTATCGCGACTCAACTCAGCCAGAGCTGTCCTGTGGTCTCCTGCAGTAGTATCTATGTGTGATAGTATATGGGGAGAGTAGATATTTAGCCTTTCCCTGAGCCATGTTACTCTGGACAATGTCTTTCATATTTTGTAGAATTCACCTCCCAGTCTCTTCTCTGTGTGTCTTCTGAGGAGGTTTACAAATGAGGACACACAGTGGGAAGCAAATCAAGATCAATTATCAGCTGCTATATAAAGTTGGTGCTTATTTTTCTAACGGTGCAGTAGAAGCTTGTTTAAAAACAGTGTGAGAGGAAGTGTTGGTGGAAGATGGCATTCAGAATTCCCAGCTGCAAATAAAGAGTTATTGTGAATTTGGAGGGCTCATTGCTCTGCAAACTACAGACCTAATGCAGAATAAAGCTTTGTTTTTCTTGCACATCAGGTTTGGTCGGAAGCGAACACTGAGTGCATTTCTGTTCTTGGGAGGATTGGCTTGTCTTATTGTCATGTTTCTTCCTAACAGGAAAGGTAAGAATTTCCTTTTGTTTCTGGAGTATGTGATAAGGATTCGTAAAGGCACATCCTGCAGGCTAAGAATTTCATGGTTGCTAGTAGATTAAGCTCATACAACATGTTAGTCTCAATTTTTGAAGCCAGCGGAGCTAACTTGCAAAATGAGTAAGCAGCAACCTTCCTAAGACCTTAAGAAAAGCTTGTTAAGGTTTGGATTTGAATTTTTGCCCTAGGATTCTACTTTTCTGATTGCATCAGTCATTCCTTTGCAGGGTTTCTGATGTACTCTCAAAAAATGTTGCTTCTTGTGATATCTCCATTAGTCAAATGATGTGTCAGTGTAAGTAGTACCCATGCAACTTGCGTGTATCTCTCCAATTGAAAGACCAATGTCAAAAGATCCTAAGAACTGAGTCTTGGGACAGATTTCCATTTCTTCTTACAGCTCTATAATGTTCAAAACTAATGTGATTGTGGTGTTAGTAACATGGCCACAAAACTTACAGTTCAGAGGGCATTCTGATAAGTTTCTGAAGCAAAGGGTCTCTTAAGAAAAGTGAAATTAAGTGTTTTTTTTGTAAAGGCACGCTAATGTTAATTATTAGATGTTTATCAAGATGATAGAAACAAATTTACATAGCAATTTTTCTTTTTGAAACCAAATACATAACTTCATCTCACTTGTAAACTTGTGGAGAGAATGCTTCAAACACTTGTGTGACTAAAAAAAAAAATTTATGAAGGAATGGCAGACTGAATAAGTTGCTCTAGGTGGCAATGGATCTCATAGATGAAACTTTATTAGATGTTTATCAAGATGATAGAAACAAATTTACATAGCAATTTTTCTTTTTGAAACCAAATACATAACTTCATCTCACTTGTAAACTTGTGGAGAGAATGCTTCAAACACTTGTGTGACTAAAAAAAAAAATTTATGAAGGAATGGCAGACTGAATAAGTTGCTCTAGGTGGCAATGGATCTCATAGATGAAACTTTTTTTTTTTTCAAAAAAAAAAAAATTTATGAAGGAATGGTAGACTGAATAAGTTGCTCTAGATGGCAATGGATCTCATAGATGAAACTTTTTTTTTAAAGGGGTGCAACTCAAGTTTCCAGAATAATTCCAGATGCTAGAGCCTGGACACAGAGATTCTGGTTTGGCTGGTACCAGTCATCAAGTAGTTTTTGCATATCATTCGAAATACCACATGTGAAAAGGGGATAGAACTGCAAGAACTCAGAAAATCAGCTGTATACTGAACTGCCAAAGTCAGCCAGGAGCAAAGTGCCTTAGGAGGCGAAATGGCTCACTGGCCAGAAGCAAACACCTGTCTTCACTGGGCATGAGCTCCAATGTGCCTGATATAAGCAGATAAGCACTGGCTGTTCTGACAAAACTAAGCCTCATGACATACTTGCTATGGTTCTTTACAGCATCTTCCTTCAAAGTAATAATGTTCGAAACATGTTATCATACTATAGAATGGACAATGAAAAGCCTCTTGTGACTAAAAAAAAAATATCACTTTGGAAAAATTTCTGTTACTTTTTGCTTCAGCTTAGTGGAGAACTAGTTTAGTGTTTAATTGTGGTAGACTCAGAAAATATGGAGTTGTAATTTCAGCTTTTAGATTCTTCACTAGATTCCTTTTCACTCTATACTATTGTGTGATTGAAGTGATTAAAGATGTATTTGAGTGCTCAAAAGCCTTACAAGGGTCACATTTTCTCTATCAGATACTGGAGTGTTTGCAGTGGTGAATAGTCGCTCTCTGTCTTTGCTGGGGAAACTGACAATCAGTGCTGCATTTAACATTGTCTACATCTACACATCAGAACTTTATCCCACAGTGATCAGGTAACACAAGTTAATTTTAAGTCTGCATTTTTCTGGTTCTCTTAACTGATCACCTTTTTACTTCTCTATTACTTTTTTCTATTAATGATGCCTTTTCATTTGAATTTTTTAATTACGTATGATTATCTGTAGTTTTACATGTAAATTTCTTCCCTTATCCTATTCTAACTTCCTCTTCCCTCAAACTTGCAGTGTTTTATTCAAACTAACCATACTTTTATGTAAGAATAAAATAGACCTTTGGCTGCTTGGTGTGCTTACAACTCTTCCTCCACTATTAAGGATAACAGTAGTACTGCTGAGGTTTCTTTTAATGAGTGATATCTAACACTTTCAGTCCTCTATAAACCAGACAACTGTATTACAATACTTGCTTAATCAGGAACGTTGAAGTTGACTGGTCAATAAGCTTTGTAAAAGTAACTTGATGCTTCACAGGCAAGAGTAAAGTTTCACTCACTGGAGACACAAGTACCCTGTGCTTGTGCTGACAGAGCAGACAAAAGCATGTGGATGTGTATGATGATCAAGCACCAGAGAAACTACACTGTGGTGTTTTTCATGGGTGGGTAAATCTTCTGATAAACAGGATTTGGATAAATGAATTCAGCCAAAGTTTCAGACAGAGACAAGGTGCATGAACTGAAATCACACTTTCTCTGCCTCACTATATGTGTATGGATGTTAGAATTTTGATCATAAAGGGATTTTTTTCTTTAAGCACAAAAACGTGCTTCAGTTCCTGTTTTGGGATGCTCTCAGTTATACTTGACTTTTCTTTGCCAGCTAATGTGGTCAGGGTCATGACTGAGCAGTGTTTTTTCTTGCTCAATGGCACTTTTTGAAATATTAATATTTTTTTTCCTTAGGAATGTTGGAATGGGTGCCTGCTCCATGTTTTCCCGCGTTGGTGGAATCATTGCACCTTTTGTCCCTTCATTGGTATGTCTGAACTTCTGTTATGTATAGTTTTGTGGCTCTAATGTATCAGAGATTTACCAAGATAGGAATATCTTGGATAAATTATGTATATAAACTAAGAGATGTAAATTTTATGTCTTAACAGTATCAGGGTAGGCCAAAGGCATCACAGTATCATCTGTGTGAGTAGGCAAAGCCTTAACATTACTTAATTTAGAAGGTATTTTAGCTCTGTAAGAATTTTGGGACTTAGCTAATGGACCTTAGCAATATAATAATTTCAAATTGCCAAGATGGTGATATCCACTTTCAAACCCTAAGCAAGCACTAGCAAAAACCCCATGTACTTAAAAGATCTGCTGTATCAATGTAAAGCATATGGGCTCAATAACTCCTATTTCTGAGAATAAATTAATTTTATCATCAGTGCACTTAATTAAATATCCATGGATTATAATTATTAGCAAATCAATTCATCTTTCAGTGAATGAAGATGATGTGGAGATCTGATACACTGGCAAGGCAAAGAAAAATTATGAAGAATAAAGCATGAGGATGATACTATTAGTTTCCTCTGTTTATGGTCTTATGTGTGGGCAGGTAAAAGAGTATAGCAGCTTTTCACACCAGCTGCTTGCTGAGGTCAAGTGACAATTCCTATAATGTGACAGATTTCATCTTGGGTAACTTCCCTCTCTGCCATTTGCCATCTTATATGGGAGGCAGAAAGCTAGCAAAAGGGCAAGGTGAGCACAGGGAGCCTTTCAATCTGCAGAATGAAATGCTGGGTAGGTGAGAGTATGAATCCCTCTGGGGTACAACAAGCAAAGCCAAGATTGGTGCCAGTCTCCCAGGTAGATTTAATAGGCAGCTTTTATGTAGTAGTTGGGGCATCCATTGTGGTGCATATAGCAGAGATTTGATACGGCATGAAACACAAATCTTGGCTCATCATGTTTGAAGGGGTTCCATAAAAATGAGAAGTTCTGTTTAAGCAACAGATTTGAGGAGAAGAATTAAGTACTTTTGTGTTTTTGAATTCCAACTAGTTTAAAGCGTTTTCAGTGTCTTTTGTCTGGGGATCTTTTAAAATGATAAGAAAGGAGAAGGTCTAATTGCTTAAGAGATTAAATGTTGGTCTTTTATTTGATTACAGCCTCTTGCTTTCTCAATTTAGAATTGTTCTTTGCTATACGAAATGAGGTTTTGAAACAAACAGCTAAACTCTTGCCATTAAAAATGAGCTTGCTTTACTGGTTGTGTGAAAGGGAATGTACACATTTTGGAGTTACATTGTAGGTAACTCATATTTTTGTACACACCTTTCCCAACTGTAATTTGGCTTGTGAAAACAGGGACAGACATCAAAAGAGGATTATAAATATTGCTTAGGCTGCCGTGAGTTATGACAGGAAGGCTAAAGCTCAGCTGAAGCTAAAACTAACAAGGAGCATAAACAGGTATTCTATCAGCTAAAGAAAATTTAGTAAAAATGTTTAGCCTGTTGTTGAATGGGATTTCATGGAAGAAGCTGAAATATATGTATGCTTTAGTCTTGATAGGCAAAGCCTGACCCCAAGACTCTATCAGCACAGTTGAGGAGGCAGAGGGCCAGCAAACAGTAGGAGGAGCAATGGGTTCAAGAACACTTAGAGCTGAAAGCTTTACATTCTGTGGAATAGGATCCCCTAAGAGTTGGTGAAAGAGCTGGTTGTGATGGGAGGCAAGTGTCCATCATCTGTGATAACCACTGTTGTGGTGAAGGATCACTGATAGCTGTGGGGGGAAAGGCTGATGTTGTGTGTGTCTTAGATGTCAGAAAGTGGAACCAGGGAGTTAGTTACAGACTAAGCTGCTCAAACTCAGTCTCTGGGAAGACTGAGACATGACCTCAGTGTGTTTCTAAGCATGCGAAGGACAAGAAGGTAATCAGGATCACTGAACATGGATTTACTAAGGACAATTCCTTCTCAGCCAGTTTGATTTGGTAGTCAGCCGTTTCATCACAGAAGGTTATACTGATGAGGAAAGGGAGGAGAGCGGAGAAGGCTTTTGACACTGTCTCACAGTATTAGCACTTGGAAACTGAGGGAATGTGTCCTAGGTGCAAAGACTATTAAATCAGAATGTTGTGTGGACCACCAGGCTCAAAGGGATAGTTACAGGGTCGATATTTGGTGGTTGGTGCTAAGTGAAGGCAGAATACATCCACTTCATGTTTTTAACAGAATACAAAATAAGGAGGAGTGATTTGACACACAAAATGGGAGCTCTTGAGTCCAGTGGGAATTTTTTGGCCAACAGAAATCCCTTGAAGGTTTACAAGAAGAATAAAATTGTTTGTGATGTGGACTTACTGCATGGTCAGTACAGTCTGAGACAAGTTAAGTGGAAGCTAGAGGTGTCCTCATCACAGAGGCAAACTTCACACCGAGCTACATCAGGCCCAGTTCAGTATGTGGTCCACAGATTAAGTACCTTTGCAGTTTGACAGGGATGCTGAAAGGTCTGGCAGAAGGCATCCAGGATGTTCAGGGGCCTAGAGCACATGGCTTCAGATGAAAGCTGGGTCTTAGATCTTCCCAGCAGTGTGGAACAGT